AGCTCTTAAACAATGATATGTGCTTCCAAATAAAATAAAAAAATAATAATAAAAAATAAATAAATAAATAAATAAAATAAAATAAAAATATTTCAAGAACCAACTGTGCTAAAAAGGTGGTTAATAGCATGCCTCTATTTTTGGTTATGTCCTGAACTGCTGACACTAAATGAAATTGAAGTAAAAGCCAAAAAACCACTTGTCAAAATATTAACCATTTTGGATCTGTCAGGATGTATTGACATCTAATTGAATGATCATTGGATAAGCATTAACCTCTGAGGTTAAACCAGCCTCTGTAATGCATCACACATCACGGGGTATTAGCTTAATTCAATTATGATCTTCTGCTTGACTATTGAGTTAAACCAAAATAACATTATGTTTTAATTGAAGTCAAACGTAATAAAAAGAAGAGCATGACATTTACATGACTCATAAGCACACAATATGTTTGCTAAAAAAGCCCTACGTAGCTAAATCTGCTACCTGGCTGTTTTCTAGAACATGCAGCTGTGCATCATGAGTTTCAAAACAAAAGAAAATGTTAAAAAAATTGATCTTTGTGACAGTTTTGTTGGAATATATCTCTCTGTGTTTGAGTAATAGACAGTAAATCACAGCTTGGATTTTCAGAGGAGACTTTAATTCCGCAGGAAGGAAGCCAACAGTCTCTCATTGAGACTGTGAACACTTCATTGTCCCCTGACATGTGTTCTACATACTCAGCAACTTGGAACAGTTCTTAAGACTCCATCTGCTTCAAGAAAAGAGACAATACACAATTGATAGAGCATACATTGCGGTCTCTACTTATTCTTTTTTTCTGGTTGTAGTGCACAGAAATCTGAATCCTAATGAAATGCATTTTTTATGTTTTACATCACCACCACAACAGAAATTATTCCGGCATGGCGAGTAGATCAACGACCAACAATGCTAGCAATGTTAACATGCAGGCACTAACAAGACAGCCACAAAGCTACACAGTCTCTGTTCATATCAAGACTGAATATCTGTTGGGAACACCACTTGTGACGGCATTCCAGATCAGTTTTGCATCAGAATCCGACTTCCAGAAAGAAACTACATAAAACCATCTCTATCTACCCATTTCAGCCATTGTTTAGCAGTTGCTAGCTATCATGTTCTGCCTTCCTGATCGAGAAACAATTTAAGAAAATCAGAGCCTGCATGTACATGAGGAAGTCTGCTTGAGCACTTGTCTGCCTTCGCTCCGTCTAAATCCCATCTTCCATCACCCTCTCAGAGCAAAATCTACACAATGAAAGGGAAAAGGCTGTGCAACGACAAGGTGCTAGCTTTGAAGAAGGCACATAATGGAAGAAGCAGATATCCATCAATACTAGGATTGTTTTGGGGAGGAAGTAGAAACCAAAAGTCAAAATACTGGATCCAATTTAAGTGATGGTACACAATTAGCAGTGTACATTCTTATCCACTTAATTAGTATATAGACAAACCAAAAACTAAAAGTGACAAAAGCACACAACAAATTTAATCAAGTCTAATCTTTTTGTGACCACCCACATCAACTGGTCAGTGAGACTTACCCTGTCTATCAAACTCTATGCTGCTGCATTGTGATTGGCTGAGGCTCCATGGACAGTAGAAGACTGATCCTCCTTCTCTGATGTTGGGCTGGCTGGTGTTGGCTTTGGGTGCTCCAACTATAATACTCACACTGTTCAAAGAGAAAAAAAAAGACGAAGGAAGCTGTTAGCATACTAATAAGACTATGAGGAATATTTATAAGAGAGCAGGACAAGTACAACAGTGTTCCGATTCACAAAAAGTCTACTGGAAGCTTTGTTAAAGAGTTTGGATTTGAACATCAGAGCTGCAAAGCAACATCTATCCTTCTATGTTGAAGACGACAGATGAAGAAAACAGTGTTGGGAAGACATTTTGAAACAGTTGCATATTGAGTTACAATCAAAATGAGATTTAAACTGAAGCAAACAAGACATTGAAAACATATTTTGTTATGCTACATTGTTACGCTTACTGGAAAGCTATACACTACTACATAAAGGTAGTTACATTAGTATAATTGTTACTTTTAGTTTCAATTTCCTAGAATTCAAAAGCTTGATATTAGTCTTATTTTGAATTTTGACGATTTAAATATAATAAAGACCAGCAGACAACTTATGATCTTTGAGGAAATGGACTGTCTCATAATCAACCATATAGAGCTGAATTATGTAACAGTGTGGCCATGTGCAACGGTTAGTAACTTGGTTGGCAACATGTGACCGCCAACACACAACCACACACACACCAGGCCCACTGGGTAATAAGTCAATGAGAAAACAAGAGCCGAGACTGCTGAAGTCAAGCTAGCTGCTTCTACAGCTGTTTTTCCCCCTGGGTTATCACAAACACATCCAAATGTTTAAACACATACAGACAAGCATAGCCACATATTTAAAAGCATGATCTCCAAGTATTCACATGTCAAAACCAAACAAACTTCTCAACAGAGAGGAATAAACAATTGTGGTTGGACAGGATGAGAGAAAGGAGCAGGAACAACTGTTTAAAACTGCATTTTCACATTCTCTGAAGAAAATGTGAGTGCCAGAACGTTGCTATGTGGTTTCTAAGGTGCTCTGATTGGTGTTTAGCATGTCGCTATGTGGTTGCTAGGTGGCTTCTTACAGGCTCAAGTCAAAACTGTCTGCATGATATTCTGGTCTCTAAATATGGCTTGATTACCTCTTTTTATGTACACAGTCAAATGTTTTGGGCCAGTAAGATTTTTTGTTGTTGTTGTTTTTTGAAAAAATTAATACTTTTATTCATCAAGGACACATTAAATTAATCAAAAGGGACAGAAATCTTGTGTTAAATTATATATGTTGTTACTATTTCAAATAAATGCTGTTCTTTTGAACTTTATTCACAGAATTCTAAATAATTTATCATGGATTCCACAAAAATATTAAGCACGACCGTTTTCATCTTTGATAATAAAAAAATGTTTCTTCAGCACCAAATCAGCATATTAGAATGATTTCTGAAACATCATGTGATGATTCACTGAAATAAAAAAAAATATTGTAAATTTTTATAATATTTCATAATATTACAGTTTTTTATGGAATCTTGTCTCCCCGACTGAATAATATCTAAAAAGTTAATTGCCACATTTAACTCACAATTCTGACTTTTTTCTAAGAACTGTGAGACGTAAACTCGCAACTGGGAGATATAAAGTCAAAATTGAGTGGCAATCTCGCAACTGCGAGAAAAAAAGTCAGTTTATCTTTCAATTCGGACATTGTAACTCGCAATTGTGAGTTCACATCTTGCAGTTCTGAGAAAAAAAAAGTCGGAATTGTGAGAAGATTTTTTTAAATCTTACCGACCCTAAACTTGTGAACGTTAGTGTAAATATACAGGATTTTTTTTTCCTGTTTTATCATCTGTCAGGAGAAAATTATAAGAATGATCATTTAGAAAGGTAATAGCACATTGTTTCTTGAGATTTGACATTCAAAACAAGCTCTCTGAAAAGTACCCAACAGTTAGACGGCCACTCTCACAGACCCTGCTCTTCTAATCTGTGTCTAATTTTCCAAGAGCCGGCATGGATTGGTGCAGTGCCGCCATGACCTCATTGTCTGTAAACTTACTATCATCTTTCCTGTCATTAAGGCTGGTCCATTGAGAGACGGGGGATGGGGGTGTGGAGGTGTTTGTAAGAGGGCACTGAGGGCATCTTTGCAGGGGGGGGTCAAGGTACAGGAAGAGAACACCCTTTCCTGCCCCCTGGGCTGGTCTCAGTGACGCGTAACAGAGGGCTTCCTTACAAAGGCTGTATTCAGCGAACCCTTCGGTCAGCCATGGAAACTCAAGCACACTTTAGATGGACTGCAGAGATAGAGTCCTATAGGTAGTACCAGATGACCACTGGAATTGAAAAAAGCAGGACAAGCAGAAGACAGATCATTGACCACATCCTAAATGAGAGGGCTGGATTTTCTCAGCTATTATTTACAAAAAACTGTGTGTCTGGAGGCAAAGAATTGAAAAGTTGAGAACATCAAAGTTTATAGCTTAAGGACCATCCTGTACTATGGAAATACATGGCATTTTGTGGCCACTAAGTCAAAAAATACCATTAAAAGACGATAAAGATTTTGATACTTGAAATAAAGCCAAAATAAATAAATAAATCTATATTGGATGTAAAGAAAACATGCTACTTTAAAAAAAACTGAAAATTATAAATATTGCATTTAAGTTAAAATACTAAAATTAAACAACTAATCCTGAAATAAAAATTACCAAAAGCTACATTAATAAATTAATAAATGACAAAAGAATGTAATAAATTCCTTAAACTTTAACTTTAATTAAAACTGAAAATATAAAAATAAAAGCCAATTCACCATATTTGGAAACAAACTTTCATTGATTTGGTTTTTTTTTCCTGTCTTTGTCTTTGCTAAGTTTTTACTATGCCTTGGAAGTCACGCAACACATTTTGTTGTACAATGACAGTAAAGGAATTTAATAATTTAATAGGACAGTTTCCAAATCCTACACTGGGAGGAATGCCAGACAAAAAGGAAAAGGCCTGAACAATAGATCAATGGATAAATAGGGAGGACATTAAACGTGGAAATGTTTGTTGGGGTCACCAAATTTCAAGGCCACAAGTGGAGCACAACCCACACACCAAAACAAAGCCTTTTTCCGGCTTGGACAGAGTATCCTATTTTTCCACCATATGTGTGTATGGACAGAGGGAATGTCCCAGAGGTGTTATAGAACCCCAGCTGAGGTGTAATGTCAATCCCAGATTCCCTTGATGGCTTTCTCCTGGGAATTAGGGCATCAAAATTCCCACTCAGCGATAACACCTACAGATAATGTCTGAAACTAAAATGTGAACAGGCTGGTCCACCTCATTTGAAACCCAGCACACTATGAATGAACTCAAGTGCACTAGTCTGATGAAATGTTATGTTGCTATGATGCATGTGAAATGCGTCTAACAGCTGCAAATTCACTAGTTTTCCCAAGCATTTTCACTCTTCTGCTCGAGTTCCTGGAATGCTGTACACTTACACTACTGCTTTGGCTGACTGCTCACAAGTGTACAATTACAGTGCAGCTACAATCATTGCACTTCTGTTATGATAAATTACACTAATTTAGTCTCATTACGGTTGAGTTTTATCTTGAAAGCCACTGGAAGTTTCCACGTAATGCAAAACCAGGTTATGTTTTAAATATTCCAAGTAAATGTTTCAAATATTCATTCATTCAAATTAAAAAAAATTACACCACAAGGTTTCTGTTTAAGCAAATAAGACCTAAATGTACATTCAAATGTGCCGCTTTGATGCAAAATTATAATATACAAAGCTCACCATCAAACATATTTAACAGGAAACTTAGAAACACAAAATTGCTTTTATCAACAAGTGGAAATAACTGTCTTCCGCCTAACACTCAACAAACATAGTCTAAATCGTGCCGTTTTGATAACGATCTGAAAGAACTGTAACTAAGAAACAATTAGCATATAATGGGGGTTTATCTCAAGAGGGGATCTCATCGCTTTTAAATGTCCTTCTTTTCTCCACTAAATGCTTAAATGTTGGGCTAACATTAGCATAATGATAAGAACCAGATTGCTCTTGTCTTAGATGCTAGCTTTTGTAACGGCTCCACATAAAATGAGAAAGACTTCAGGAGGCCTTCAGGCAGAGGGAATGCCAAAGTGAAGCTTACTTTAATTAAAACAATCTGGCCTTGTAAGAGAACAACAGAATGTTGTTTCAATTCTGCTATATGGAGAACAAATTTTGCTTTAACTGTTATTAGCATCTGTAAGTAGTTGTTGATCAGAATTATTGCTAAGGGCAGAGGTCATTGCCTTTGGAAGATGGATTTTTCAACAGTGGGCCTTCATTTGCTTACACTCATGTCTTCCTAAATCTGTATGACTTACTTCCTTCTGCGGAAGACAACAAATATATATTTTGAAACTTTTCAGTTTGCTTTTTGTCCATACAATGAAAATCAATAGAGTCTGGTTTTGTTTTGGACCCCATTCACTTTCATTGTATAAAAAAAACAACTGAAGCATTCTTCACAATCATTCAGACACAAAGCACCAAAGAATCATTCACAATAAAACCAGGAATATACATCGATCAGGCATAACATTAACACTTTTACACTTTTGCTGCCAAAACAGCCCTGACCCGTTGAAGCATGGACTCCACTAGACCCCTGTATCTGGCACCAAGTTGTTAGCAGCAGATCCTTTAAGTCCTGTAAGTTGCGAGGTGGGGCCTCCATGGATCGGACTTGTTTGTTCAGCACATCCCACAGATGCTTGATTGGATTGAGATCTGGGGAATTTGGAGGCCAAGTCAACACCTCAAACTCGTTGTTGTGATCCTTAAACCATTCCTGAACCATTTTTGCTTTGTGGCAGGG